ATGACTTGTTTTAGGAGGTAGAATGGTTTCTCTTATATGTAGATTATTCTTTTGAGAGTAAATACAGAAGTTAGGGAGATGTTTTGTTTGAATGGATAAATGTTTCGTTAACCTCAATGTCATTTGGTATAAGAGGGTTGGTGGTAGCAACGGGTTGAAAAATTTTAGGGGAATTAATATTAAAGTTTATTCCTAATCTATTTTCACCTATGGGAATTTTTTCTAAGGGTTTATTCTTAAGGAAAGCGATGTCCATGGATACAAATGTTTCATTTTGTCAATGAATAATATTTATACCTCTTTTGATTTACACCACCGAGCAAAACACATTTAAAGGTTCTAGGATCAAGTTTATTTTTATTAGTTGTTTGATTATGGACAAACTTAGGGCACCCAAAGACTACAATTGGATGATTATAAATGATACATGTATTAGGAAGACTTTTGGGAAGCATATGTATTAGAATTTTAAACTAAAGTACATTTATAGGCCAATAATTTGTAAGCTAGCATACTATGAGGATGACATCACTTCAATTTTATGTAGGGATGTTAGTGTTGAGCATAATAAATCTAGCTTTTTTAGATTTCACACATCAAGTCCAGATGCAGTACGTCCTGATAACACAAGATACAATGAAGGAATATATCTCGACTTTGAATAGGTTTCAAAGGTCAAGATCAATATAAACTCCAGTCATATTTTGTTTAGAAAGCACCTATTGAAAATTCAAGCTATTCAAAGTCAAGATCAATATAAACTCCAGTCATTTATTTAAGTCTCATCGTAATAGGAGTCAATTCAAGCTATAAAAATTTGTGTATCAATAAATCATAATAACGTTATCTATGTTGCTTGATCTGCTAATGTGAACATTAAAAATATCTACAAGCCTCTATGTAACAAATAAATGAGAATAAATGTTGGATTGGTAACCTAAAAAATATTTAAGATTCTAGTACACACATTAAGGATAACACGTCTAACTATGAATGATACACATATCTCTTAATAACTCATATTGCTTAACTTCTATTTGAGTTCCAACTAACACTGCCTCATGACAGACAATTACAAAAGTCAATAATTATAAAGTTCCTATACAATAGAGTCCTAAATTAGTTTCTAAGACTATAATAAGCGTACAAATGCATGTTAAAATAAGACCTAATCCACTGAAACTTGATTACTTTAAAGGGTTCTTTGGTTTGTCAAAAAAAGTAATGCAGTATAAAATAAATGCAGGAGTAACGTAGTGCTGTTGAAATACTTTAGAGTTGTGTGGTTTGGTGTAAAATGAATGAATGACTTCATTTTTTTATTTGGTTTGAGGTAAAACGAAAATATGTATTTCAAAAGTAATGCATCTGTCTGCGGCTGCCAATTGATTACTGTAATGGTGTGTTGCGGCGATTGCCGAGTTTTGTGGCGTGGGGCTGTGAGCAGTGGTGGTGGTCGACGAGAAGCCAGCTGACGGTAGCTGTATTTAGAATGCGCCTGATTTGAGTGAATTGAGAAGTCATGGAGAAACAGTGATTTGATGAATAAGAGGTTCAACGGATAATTCTTCTGTATTAAATTTCCTTGACACCGAACATGAGAAAAATGAAAACACACGATATTAAAATGCAGTACAACTCTTTTACGCTCGACCAAACATGCCTTAAGACTTAAATAAATGCCTTGTGAGCCTTAAACCTATACAAAATAGATTACTTTCAAATCACCTAGTCTAATAATCATTATGATGATATAAGATTAGAAACTAAATTATTATTTTCTTAAAATCTATTAGATCATAAAACACAGGAAACTTTTTGTAGCTAAATAGTTTGGATTTTTAACTTAATCTAATATAAATAATAGTTAAGGATAGAAGAAATTATATGATTATGTTCTCAAAGACTAGACAAGGAATAAGAAGAAGAGGATAGATAATGAGAGAGGAAGAGGAATAATTCTTATTGTTCCTTTTACTTATTTGAGGAAAAAAAAAGGGATGAAGGGAGGTCTTATGATTGAAGAGGAAAGACTTTGCAGTTGAGTTTTTGGGAGAGAACGGTCTCAAAGTATAAGAAGATGAGGAGGCTTGTTGTTGGTAATGCCCTAGTCCATGATGATCTTATATATTGGCTAGAGGTGGTTGGAAGTGTGAAATCCTAGCGTATTTTGCGCATTGATTGGAGAGTAGATGTGACTTCACATGATTTTCTTGAAAGGAACATGTCAGGTTCACGAGATGAGGAGAGATGATAGGTTTTGGGGCTTGGGTTGGCATCTATGGTTTGGTATCAAGCTAACAACCCGATTTGATTATAACGTTAGAGATGTCTATTTTTTCAACTATACTATTCTGCTAAGGAGTGTTGGGAAGCTGACTTCACAGCAACAAGCCTTTAGCACACTAAGTAGGGTCGACTAGGAATTTGACTTTGATGTGTAATATTATTATGATTTTGCTAACTTTCCAAGATGTGGTTAAAATTCTTCTTACCTTTACCTGAGTAAAGGATTTGGATTTTATCAGAGTATTAGGTTTTATACATACTGTGAATGTTTTTAAAATTTTATTCTGCATTAAATTTATCCTCTAATAAGTATAACCACAACACAATAGTGCGATCATTCATAAAAGTGATGAATTTTCATTTGGAGTTAAGAATTTGAGACTTCAATGGTCTAAAATGTATGAATGTCATAATGCACAATTGAAAATGGTTTTGTGGCTAAGATTTCTCTTTGGTGTTTGACTAGTTGATAGATTTTACAAAGAATATTTTTATTGATTGACAAAAAAGAAAATAAATTTTGAGGATAAAGAAAACTAGGTTGACTTGACCTACAATATGTAAACTTAATTTGATCCCTTTTTTGAGAATAAAATACTTTTTGTTGATATTAAAGGCACGATTGCTCTCTTCGGAATTTTCGTCAAAGTAGTATAAACCTTTGACGTCATTAGCATTGTTAATCTTTTTCTCTGATCTGTCCTGAAATTCAATTTATTTTGATAAGACTGATTGTGATTTTTTGCTATTTTGCTTACCAAGAGGTTGCAAGAGAGATTTGTAGCATGTTTGATAAAATTCAGATGAAGCTCATAATTTATTCTAATGGCCCTTGCTACAATAATAAGGGACGGAAGTCCATAAAAAATTTTGATTTTGAGGATTTCATTGGAGGGAGCATGAGAGTAGAATAGGCGATAACACTGTATCTCGTTGTCTAATACTTCTGAATCAATAATTTAGGATTCTCAGCTTCCCTTAGTACAGTTAAGAGCTAGAGAAAATGTTTTTTTTTTTTAGGCTGGAAGGGAGGAGCTGGTAGCTTTTAAGCAGTGAGTGTTTTGCATAAAAGATCCAACTGCTATTTGCCTAAAGGAATATTACCAGGGTTTTCACTGCTTTTCATTTTTAGTCCCTCACTTTTAGTTTGACAAGCTTGAATGTCTTTGTGATGATTTCTAGGATTTTTTTAATTTTATTGATTTTTTCATGGAGTTTTCAACAGTTTTTTTCTTATGTAATTAGTTGATTTATGGCCATCACATCAATGATTAACTCTCTTTCAATGCCTTAGGTAATTCCTTGGGCTTTGCTCATGATTTTTTATGGCAAGAGCGGATCCTTTTGCTATGATGATGTTTTGATATCGCCAAGCATTATTTGTTTTTGAGCATTATTCTTTTTCTTCCTTCTTTACTTCGGACTTTAGCAATTGCTGCTTTGATTTTGGAAAATACAAGGATTTTCTTATACACTTCATTGTGATTTGCAAGAAAGTTGTAGGTTCTTATTTTTCATTATTAGTTTGATGCATTAACTTGTATACTATTTCCACTAATTATTTGGCTCAAAAACATATTGTTTTTGCCAAATTTTTTATGAAAGTTGCGAAGTATTCTGTGACACTCATGCTTGTTTGGTTGAAATTACAAGTTTGATCCTATTGTTCACACAATTGAGTAGAATTTGCAAGATTTAAGTGCTCGATGTTGACTTGCTTGTGTGGTGTGGTGCAATAGACCAAATATATTGATCCAATGTTTTCTTCCATTAAATTGATGAATCAAGGCATTTTTGGTATCCCATAATGGAAAAGAAGGGCCAACTATTTCAGGTTGATGGATGGTATCATTTACATATTCAATTATCTGTCTTCCCATATCGACATTCCAAAGTGAGCGAGACTATTGAAAGAATATCTTTCCATTTAGTTTGTACAAAGTGATTTGGAGCGATGAGTGGTCTATGAAGACTTTCAGAATGATGGTATAACTTGGTAAAGTGGAGGGTGAATAGATTTACTTTCCTTTGCCGAAGTCAATTAGTGCTCTCTTAATAGTTGTTTGCCATTGCTTAGATAGAACCTAGCTATGATACCATGTAAGAAAGGAGGGTGTATAAGAAAATTAAGAAGGCAAAAAAGTGGAATACACCCTTCCACTTATTGGTTGAAATTTGGGCACTTTTATTGAGTCTTACTATGATAAAATATAGAGAAAAAATAAGCATACTCTATTAAGAAAGGAAAGCCATATATTGAAGCAGTTTTTTAATTTAATGGCTATTAAATAAAAATTGTATCATCGGCCTTTGAAATTTGTGGGATATGCGCGTTGCCATTGCTTCTTCTGATGCTGCATGAAAAGAAGGGAAGAGATGTAGCACGCGCGCGCGCGCGCACAGACACACACACACACACAGACACACACACCAACA